CCGTATCACGGTCGACTCTGCGCAGATGGCTTCATGCACACAAGTGCAGACACTACACTAGAAGAGCAAACCACTAATTAGCAAACATTGGCAAGACCATATGACGTCGCCGGACATTGTTAAGCGAAGCAAGTTCAGGACGGTCGAGGGGTTAGCGGAGGCGCCGTGACGTACGGAGGCTTAAGAAGGCACACTGCTGGGATAATTGGGTTTGCGTGTGGGGGGAGTGGCATGGCCATTCAAGAAGTTTATTGCCACTCCGAGGGGAAGTTTACTGTAATACTTAAGGCCCAACTACTTTTTCTTATTCGTTTTGAAAACACTGACTCCTTCCAAAAAACGTGGACATTTTCTCTCGGGGAAATTGCTGAGATGGTGCTGAAGTGGCCGATAAAACTAGCATTGATGTTGCGGCAGGTATAAAACCTTTCGACAACGGTAATGTGATGGTGCAACACATATAGACAGACAATATAACGATACAGGCGTGCGTGTGTTCTTTCTCCTCTCCAACAAACGAATAATATTCCTGCATTTTCGTCTTCCTCGCATTCACACCATCAACTCTACATGGAATACACAGCATGTGTGTATGTCGCTGCCCCCTTGTGGTCAGGGTGCGCACACCAGAAGGAGCAGCACAATGTCCGCTGAATTAAAGCATGGAATTTTTATTTTATTTTTTATTTTTTACGACTATACGTTCTAAAATTTTACAAGACGACAGAGTGCAATTTTTCTCACGGAGAACACGTTCCATTTTATTTTTTTTTTTTGAGTCTGTTGCATTGTCTGGAACAAATGAATGGCTTTTCCATTTATTTTAATGCAGAATCTTATTTGAGTGACAAACGTAGCCACAGAATAAATTAAAACTCTTACAATAAGCATTTTCCGTCGAAGCATTTTGAAACAGGCGGTTAAATTGCTCGGGTATGAACTCAGTGCGGTGAGCCAGTTCGCCCGTTGTTTCTTTGTGAATGAAACGGCTCTAAAAGGCTCGGTCGTGATTTTCTCCTCATGAGCTATGAATGGAAACAGCACCACCACCTTGTTTTGAGCCCTCTTAAGCGTGAGCGAAGCAAAAGTGGGAGGGGAGTCTCGATTGACATGGGAGGAGGATAATCCAATACAGGGAGACTTTACCAGGAAAAAGTCAGGGAACACTCGCGCTCTCCGAGACCTGGATGAGCACCTCACAGACCGACACAGGAATTGTGCGGGCCGACTGATCTCCCGGAGGACGCGGTGTACCTCACTGGCCCTACGACTTGGGCGGCTGCTCCGGCTCAGGGGGTCGGGCGGGGAGGGCGCCGGGTACTGGGACGGTTGGTCAGGATGGAGCGGTGGAAGAAAATGCTGCCAAGCGTGTCGTTGAAGGTCAGCGCGTACATCAAGGAGTACTGCAAGAGGAACGGCCTCCTGACGCTGTCCGTCTTTGCCGTGGTGACGGGCTGCACTCTGGGATTCCTCTTGAGGTCGCTGAACCTGTCAACACAGGTACGGACAGACGAATGGATGGATGGAAGACAGATGGGTTTGAACGGGTTGGATTGATGACATCATAGAAACATGGGAAATGAGCCAGTTGCACCGAACTGGTCCAGAAATTGTGATTTATTTACTCCAAATAGTATATCATCATTCAAATATCCAAGCCGGTGACAGACAATTAAATTGTCTTCTGCAAGATGGTCAGAGTACATTTTGCGCATACATCAGCATTATTTCAGTACTTCTGTGAGTTGGACGCAAGACAAGTTGCCGGGCTAGTCCAGGGGTCTCAAACTCAATTTATGGGGGCAGCTGGAGTCTGGCTATTTCGAGGTGAGTCATGACATCTAATTTCTTAAGCACTGCGGCTTTATCTGTGCATTCATGTTGAGGTCTCCTGCTGTGCTAAACGGAAAATCATTCTGTCGACTGTTTTTCTTGAAATTGCCCGTTCTTGTCGTCGCCAAGCTTTCACTTCACGGCCGGTTTTGGAAAAAACGTGACTGGGAATGGGTGACAGGATAGGGACTTGGTGCCACTTCAGAATTACGTTTTGCTGAAAGCTGTCGTGAGGCTGCGCTAGGGTAGACCAGAAGTTATTCCCCCCTCCCCGACCCCAAAAAAACGCCTCACTAAGTTATCTCAAGCAGGTGCCTGCAAAACATCGACCCGCAGGTTGCAAATGGCCGCCTGGACTAGAGTGACGGCTTACTGGATCCATTTTAAAAGGGTAGTGGGCGGGCGGTTGACAATTGATCGATCAATTGGAAAAAGAATATACAGCAATCATGTCATCTGACGCAATGTGGAGTTTTTGTTTTGCCGAGTTTTCTTGCCGGTGGTACTAAGGGTGTGTTTGGGATTTCAAGTTTGCCACCCCCTCTTCCATCACCAGGCCAAGATCTACTTCTCTTTCCCTGGGGAGCTGCTGATGAGGATGTTGAAGATGCTAATTCTGCCTCTCATCACATCCAGGTACAAATCACTTGTCCCTGGGTGGAGTCACGGATACACACCGCATAGATTGTTTGGTTGTCAACGAATCGAATGTATGTGTTGTAAAAAAAAAGGCTAGTGTGCGAGTTTTGGTCTACATTCAACACAATTTAGTAGTTGAAAACCCAATTGGTATTTTTTTTTTTCCAAAACAGTGAAGACAATTTAGAGATCAATGAACCGAAACACGGTCATTTTTTGCAACCATCTTTAATTTATTTGTTTTAAATTACTTTGAAAAAAATCTGTTTATTTTTTAAAAAAAAGCCAACCCTTACAATTGATCACAATTTTTGATTGATTTTTTGTTCTAAAAGAAGACTTGGTATGTTCCAACATATCAGACAAATACCAAATGTTTTTTTCTCCTTTCACTATAAATTTAACTGCTTAGCAACTGACTTACAATTTTTTGGATTGGTTTTTAACATTTTTCCTCATCCTATGCGACATAGTGGCGGCCTCTATCCGGCCCTCACCCTAAGTTTGGACATTCCTTTTTGTCATGACCAAAACATCTCACTTGTGACCAGACTATTAACTCCACACCTCCTAATTTTGCATTTCAGTCTCATGTCCGGTCTGTCAGCCATGGACACGAAGGCCAGCGGCCGGCTGGGTGTCCTGACCATCACTTACTACCTATGGACCACTTTCATCGCCGTCATCGTAGGCATCGTGCTCGTCCTCATCATCCACCCGGGGGTGGGCACGGAGAAGGACAGCCACCACGCCAGCTCGGGGCCTGTGATGACTTCGGCTGATGCTCTGCTGGACCTCATCAGGTAAACGCTGCGCATCTGACCAGGGAAGTCAGTATTGAACGTACTGTAGTATTTGTGTGTTTGATTGCGTGAGCTCAGGACGTGCAGTTGGAGTGGCTCCTGTGAGTGTTGTTGTTTGGTATTATCTAGCGCACGTCATTACACGTCATTAGAGGGGCAGTGGGGACCTTTGACTTCGCCCGACCCAAGATTTGAACACTGAACCTTTGGCTTTGAAATCACGGTGGGTAATAGAGTTGCAGTGTCACCGGTCGCCTAAGAATAGGAAGCCACTTAATGGTAATCTGTTAATCGTGCACTCACTCTCCCTCTACGTTAGCCCTGAGTGTGCTTAAGCGCAGCGCCATTCATGTAAGAGCTCCACGAATACATTAGTGCTAAATCTGATTATTTAAGAGCGCCGTGTTCGTCTGCCTGGCGCTGGCAGAGCAAACCTTTGACAACAGAGGCGCACTTGCCATGTGCTCGCAGCCCCGGCCTCGCTTTCGGTGACGTATACGTTGGATAAAACCCCGAGACTGTTTGCGCATTTGGCAAACACCCCACACAAGGGGGGTTTACGTGGGAAAATGCTCCATATAAACCCCTCAATTGGAATTGAAACCGATTCATGTAATGCCACATGTATTCGTAAAATCGGAATATATGACGTCACAAGTCAACAGGTGACAAGCCGGCTAGCGTAAATCGCCGCTAATGCTAATTTGCGTGCCTGAGACTGTTGGCGCATTTGGCAAACACCCCACACAAGGGGGGGGGGTTTACGTGTAGCCACGAAAAATACTCCATATAAACGCCTCAATCGGAATTGAAACCGATTCATGTAGTGCCGCATGTATTCGTCAAATCGGAATATATGACGTCACAAGTCAACAGGTGACAAACAGGCTAGCGTAAATCGCCGCTAATGTGCTAATTTGCTTGCTTGAAAAGTTCACGTTTTTTTAAACACCGCGAAACACTTTTCAAACGTGAGAAACCCCACGTACCGGTCCAAAGATTGCTTCCAGCTCACCGGCGACTTTCAAGAGAGCAACTTGAAAATGGATGGATGAGTTACGTTCAAAGTGAACGTGGTTGTCTGTATGCGGCTGCTGTTCACCTGCGACCCTGTGATTGGCTGGTGACCAGTCATGGGGTGTACACCCCCCCACCCCGCCCCTTTGCAACTCGACTGAAGACGAGCGTTATCGAAAATCACTGGATGGGATACATTCATATCATATTTGAGCGCAGACATGAAAATGCACCGTTTTTCGTCTTTTACAGGAACATGATCCCTTCCAATCTAATTGAAGCAACCTTCCAACAGGTAAGCAGATCCATTAAAAAAATATCACAGCGAGTGTGAAATATTTTCACATTAACTCTTGTATTGTGGTCCCTCCCCCCAGTACCGAACAGACCTAGTGCCCATCGTGCAGAGTTCCAACGCGAAGGAATCACAAGCCAACTACGTCTACGTCATGCCCGACTATCACAATCCCCGCCTGGGCCACCCAGTCTTTCTGGACATCACCCCAGCGCCGGACATCAACTACAAGATCGTGCCCAGTACCAGCAAGGGCATGAACGTACTGGGGATCGTCATCTTCTCGGCCACCATGGGTAAGATGAGCTGATTTGGAGTTTGCGGATAAATGTGTATTTGGAGATTCAAGGTTCAAGGTTTTCCATATTGGGGACAAGGATTGGGGTCCTGCAAGTGAAAATTCTTCTCCCCCGCATGCTCTCAGGGCTGCTCCTGGGAAAGATGGGCGAACGTGGCGCGCCGCTGGTCAATGTGTGCCAGTGCATCAACGAGTGCGTCATGAAGATCATTAACGCGGCCATGTGGTGAGGAACACACTCGCACACGCACATGCTCGCTTGAAAAATAAACACAGAGCACAGGCAGATTAGATCTAAAAATAAATAGCACGCAGCAGTTCAGCAGTACCTGAAGTGCCCTAGTTGACGGGTGGTAGGAAGGAAGCAATCTCCTGTTAGTTGCTTGGATGTTTACAAAGGCGAGATATCATACATTTTTCTCACTGTCCTGTATGAAATCAGACTCAACTTTTTTTTTCTGTTTTAGGTCAGGTAGGATCATCAAAATGATTTCTATTCGCTAAATTGATTCCGTCCTGCAGGTATTTCCCCTTTGGCATCGTGTTCCTGGTGGCAGGGAAGATCCTGGACATGCACGATCCGGCCCACCTGGGAGAAAAACTGGGCATGTACTTCATCACGGTCCTGTCCGGCCTGTTCGTGCACGGCCTCATCTTGCTGCCCCTCTTCTACTTCTTCTTCACGCGCAAAAACCCATTTCCCTTCATCAGGGGCCTCCTGCAGGCTCTGGTCATCGCCTTGGCCACGTCTTCAAGGTGAGCGCAGTCCAAGCGTGACTTGCGACGGATGATGCCCGCGCTGACCCCCAAGGTGGGTTTTGTCCTCTTTCAGCTCGGCCACTTTGCCAATCACCATGAAGTGTCTGCTGGAGAACTGTGGCGTGGACCGTCAAATTGCTCGCTTCGTGTTGCCCGTGGGAGCCACCATCAACATGGACGGAACGGCCCTATATGAGGCGGTGGCTGCCATTTTCATCGCTCAAGTCAACGAATACGACTTGGACTTCGGTCAGCTGGTCACCATAAGGTATCTTTCGGATATTCAATCTGCTATACTGTTGGAAGAGTAAGAATAAACGGTGTCATTAGAGGGGCAGTGGGGACCTTTGACTTCGCCCGACCCAAGATTTGAACACTGAACCTTTGGCTTTGAAATCACGGTGGGTAATAGAGTTGCAGTGTCACCGGTCGCCTAAGAATAGGAAGCCACTTAATGGTAATCTGTTAATCGTGCACTCACTCTCCCTCTACGTTAGCCCTGAGTGTGCTTAAGCGCAGCGCCATTCATGTAAGAGCTCCACGAATACATTAGTGCTAAATCTGATTATTTAAGAGCGCCGTGTTCGTCTGCCTGGCGCTGGCAGAGCAAACCTTTGACAACAGAGGCGCACTTGCCATGTGCTCGCAGCCCCGGCCTCGCTTTCGGTGACGTATACGTTGGATAAAACCCCGAGACTGTTTGCGCATTTGGCAAACACCCCACACAAGGGGGGTTTACGTGGGAAAATGCTCCATATAAACCCCTCAATTGGAATTGAAACCGATTCATGTAATGCCACATGTATTCGTAAAATCGGAATATATGACGTCACAAGTCAACAGGTGACAAGCCGGCTAGCGTAAATCGCCGCTAATGCTAATTTGCGTGCCTGAGACTGTTGGCGCATTTGGCAAACACCCCACACAAGGGGGGGGGGTTTACGTGTAGCCACGAAAAATACTCCATATAAACGCCTCAATCGGAATTGAAACCGATTCATGTAGTGCCGCATGTATTCGTCAAATCGGAATATATGACGTCACAAGTCAACAGGTGAAACATTTTTCCTCATCCTATGCGACATAGTGGCGGCCTCTATCCGGCCCTCACCCTAAGTTTGGACATTCCTTTTTGTCATGACCAAAACATCTCACTTGTGACCAGACTATTAACTCCACACCTCCTAATTTTGCATTTCAGTCTCATGTCCGGTCTGTCAGCCATGGACACGAAGGCCAGCGGCCGGCTGGGTGTCCTGACCATCACTTACTACCTATGGACCACTTTCATCGCCGTCATCGTAGGCATTGTGCTCGTCCTCATCATCCACCCGGGGGTGGGCACAGAGAAGGACAGCCACCACGCCAGCTCGGGGCCTGTGATGACTTCGGCTGATGCTCTGCTGGACCTCATCAGGTAAACGCTGCGCATCTGACCAGGGAAGTCAACATTGAACGTACTGTAGTATTTGTGTGTTTGATTGCGTGAGCTCAGGACGTGCAGTTGGAGTGGCTCCTGTGAGTGTTGTTGTTTGGTATTATCTAGCGCACGTCATTACACGTCATTAGAGGGGCAGTGGGGACCTTTGACTTCGCCCGACCCAAGATTTGAACACTGAACCTTTGGCTTTGAAATCACGGTGGGTAATAGAGTTGCAGTGTCACCGGTCGCCTAAGAATAGGAAGCCACTTAATGGTAATCTGTTAATCGTGCACTCACTCTCCCTCTACGTTAGCCCTGAGTGTGCTTAAGCGCAGCGCCATTCATGTAAGAGCTCCACGAATACATTAGTGCTAAATCTGATTATTTAAGAGCGCCGTGTTCGTCTGCCTGGCGCTGGCAGAGCAAACCTTTGACAACAGAGGCGCACTTGCCATGTGCTCGCAGCCCCGGCCTCGCTTTCGGTGACGTATACGTTGGATAAAACCCCGAGACTGTTTGCGCATTTGGCAAACACCCCACACAAGGGGGGTTTACGTGGGAAAATGCTCCATATAAACCCCTCAATTGGAATTGAAACCGATTCATGTAATGCCACATGTATTCGTAAAATCGGAATATATGACGTCACAAGTCAACAGGTGACAAGCCGGCTAGCGTAAATCGCCGCTAATGCTAATTTGCGTGCCTGAGACTGTTGGCGCATTTGGCAAACACCCCACACAAGGGGGGGGGGTTTACGTGTAGCCACGAAAAATACTCCATATAAACGCCTCAATCGGAATTGAAACCGATTCATGTAGTGCCGCATGTATTCGTCAAATCGGAATATATGACGTCACAAGTCAACAGGTGACAAACAGGCTAGCGTAAATCGCCGCTAATGTGCTAATTTGCTTGCTTGAAAAGTTCACGTTTTTTTAAACACCGCGAAACACTTTTCAAACGTGAGAAACCCCACGTACCGGTCCAAAGATTGCTTCCAGCTCACCGGCGACTTTCAAGAGAGCAACTTGAAAATGGATGGATGAGTTACGTTCAAAGTGAACGTGGTTGTCTGTATGCGGCTGCTGTTCACCTGCGACCCTGTGATTGGCTGGTGACCAGTCATGGGGTGTACACCCCCCCACCCCGCCCCTTTGCAACTCGACTGAAGACGAGCGTTATCGAAAATCACTGGATGGGATACATTCATATCATATTTGAGCGCAGACATGAAAATGCACCGTTTTTCGTCTTTTACAGGAACATGATCCCTTCCAATCTAATTGAAGCAACCTTCCAACAGGTAAGCAGATCCATTAAAAAAATATCACAGCGAGTGTGAAATATTTTCACATTAACTCTTGTATTGTGGTCCCTCCCCCCAGTACCGAACAGACCTAGTGCCCATCGTGCAGAGTTCCAACGCGAAGGAATCACAAGCCAACTACGTCTACGTCATGCCCGACTATCACAATCCCCGCCTGGGCCACCCAGTCTTTCTGGACATCACCCCAGCGCCGGACATCAACTACAAGATCGTGCCCAGTACCAGCAAGGGCATGAACGTACTGGGGATCGTCATCTTCTCGGCCACCATGGGTAAGATGAGCTGATTTGGAGTTTGCGGATAAATGTGTATTTGGAGATTCAAGGTTCAAGGTTTTCCATATTGGGGACAAGGATTGGGGTCCTGCAAGTGAAAATTCTTCTCCCCCGCATGCTCTCAGGGCTGCTCCTGGGAAAGATGGGCGAACGTGGCGCGCCGCTGGTCAATGTGTGCCAGTGCATCAACGAGTGCGTCATGAAGATCATTAACGCGGCCATGTGGTGAGGAACACACTCGCACACGCACATGCTCGCTTGAAAAATAAACACAGAGCACAGGCAGATTAGATCTAAAAATAAATAGCACGCAGCAGTTCAGCAGTACCTGAAGTGCCCTAGTTGACGGGTGGTAGGAAGGAAGCAATCTCCTGTTAGTTGCTTGGATGTTTACAAAGGCGAGATATCATACATTTTTCTCACTGTCCTGTATGAAATCAGACTCAACTTTTTTTTTCTGTTTTAGGTCAGGTAGGATCATCAAAATGATTTCTATTCGCTAAATTGATTCCGTCCTGCAGGTATTTCCCCTTTGGCATCGTGTTCCTGGTGGCAGGGAAGATCCTGGACATGCACGATCCGGCCCACCTGGGAGAAAAACTGGGCATGTACTTCATCACGGTCCTGTCCGGCCTGTTCGTGCACGGCCTCATCTTGCTGCCCCTCTTCTACTTCTTCTTCACGCGCAAAAACCCATTTCCCTTCATCAGGGGCCTCCTGCAGGCTCTGGTCATCGCCTTGGCCACGTCTTCAAGGTGAGCGCAGTCCAAGCGTGACTTGCGACGGATGATGCCCGCGCTGACCCCCAAGGTGGGTTTTGTCCTCTTTCAGCTCGGCCACTTTGCCAATCACCATGAAGTGTCTGCTGGAGAACTGTGGCGTGGACCGTCAAATTGCTCGCTTCGTGTTGCCCGTGGGAGCCACCATCAACATGGACGGAACGGCCCTATATGAGGCGGTGGCTGCCATTTTCATCGCTCAAGTCAACGAATACGACTTGGACTTCGGTCAGCTGGTCACCATAAGGTATCTTTCGGATATTCAATCTGCTATACTGTTGGAAGAGTAAGAATAAACGGTGCTCAAGCGTGAATGGCGGCCTGTCTATACAGTGGTACCTCTACTTATGAAATTAATTGGTTCCAGAAGAAATTTCTTAACTAGAAAATGTTGTAAGTAGAGACGCGTTTTCCATGTAAATGCCCTAATCCGTTCCAAGCGGCCCCCAAAATTCAGAGAGAAATGTTTTCTAAAGCATAAAAATGGATCAAAATATGTAACAAATACATGTGACAATTAGATTATTGCACAAGCATCACCACGATTGCCCGACCGGTGAACACTTTTTCTGGGTGATTCGAATTTACGTAAGTTATTGGAACAGCTCATGGCCGGAGGAGCGAATGACAAAGATGCTGCATAGACACATTTCTATCTATTTCTATCTACACACAGAGAGACATGTGGTAGAGGTCCCTCTTAGCCAATGGGATGCCAGGAAGATGATCGGTAGTAGCCAATGGCAGAGCAGCTCTAAGTATGTTGCGTTCAGGAAACTCGGAACTGCAAGTAGCAGCCCATACTGTATTTTTACCTTTTGTATCTTGAAATTTCTTTTGTAACAAGAGGCAATATTTTCCTGTTGAGGTGTTTCGTAACTAGAAAATTTCATATGAAGAGACGTTCGTAAGTAGCGATACCACTGTATCTGCCCGGCAATTGGCTGGCAACCCGTCTAGGCTGTAGCCGGCCGACCGTTTGCCGGTATAACCCGCAAACTTAGTCAGGATCACCGCTATGGAAAATATATTTCCGACGTCGGAAAGTTTTGTAAGAAGTGGAGTGTCTGTATTCGACTTCTTCCGCCTTAGCATCACGGCGACAGCAGCGAGCATCGGTGCGGCTGGAATACCTCAAGCTGGTCTGGTTACCATGGTGATCGTCCTGACCTCTGTGGGCTTACCGCCTGCGGACATATCTCTGATCGTGGCCATCGACTGGGTTCTGTGAGTCCCGCCGCAAGGCACTTTAATGGCAAAAGATTTTTAAAATTCGACTGAGGTCAAATGTCTCCCGTTTTCATTTTTCACAGCGATCGCTTCAGGACGATGATAAACGTCCTCGGTGATGCCTTAGCAGCCGGTATCATGGCACACGTATGCAGGAAGGACTTTGAGAAAGCCGCCGCCACACCGGGGGTCGCCACAGATGTCAACGTCCCCACCATCGTCAATAATGGAGGATCATCAAAACGGGTAAGGAGACACAGTGATGTCCAAAAGGATTCGGTTGTGGATAAGAATTAAAGGATTAAGACAGTGTTGAGTCTGAACATATTTTAGTCATCTCACAAAGACCAACAAATGTTTATTTGCTTCCCCCCCCAACAGAGAGACACGGTGATCTCCGTAGGCAACCAGAGCGTGACGCTGTCCGACGCACCCCTGATCGCGCACCGCTGTGATTTTATGTTTGAGGTGGATGGTGACAACATCTTGGAGAAACCCGTGGCCTGCTACAACTTATGCCAAGTTTGAGCCAGCCTTCCACGGACTAAGCACTCAGCTCACCGAGAGACCGTGTTAAACTCAGGATGCAGCTTTTCAGTTCCTTTGCCAGTGCCAAGACAAAACAAAAAAAACCTTCACGACTTGATGTACATCGCGCTGTAGGACTCGTAACGGATTCCGTCTGTGGGCACCGATTCGATGAACGGCGAGTGTCGCTTAAGACTTCTTGCAGGCTTGTCCTGATGACGATCGAGACTCCAATCCGGATGCCTTAACATGATCGGTCGTGCTGAGATGGCAGCAGCTCATGAACGTCACATTGGTCAATGGGCTTTGACTCAAAGCGCTTTCAAACCGTATGCTCATTTGATGACACAGCATCTTGCTCAAGGACACTTCGACATGGTCACAATGACCAGGGATCGGAACCCCACACCTTCAGGTTGGGAGATGAGCGCTCGACGACTGAGCCATGCCACCCCAACATTGTCAATTCAACCTCATGTATAGATAAAACAAAAAAAAAAAAAAATAGTAATTATATCCGAGGAGTCACTGTCATGTCTTTTTTATACCAATGTCAATGTTTTTTTTTTGTGTGTGTGCTTGTTTTCCAATTAAAAGTTGGTTCACTCCACCCGTCTGATTATTTTTTTGGGGGAGTCTGTTTTGCGGGTACAGCTAATTTAGATGAAGCTGTTACTGTCAGATGGCCGCTTAAAAATAGGGTAAAATGCTTTTTAAAAGTAAAAACAGATGCTTGCAAGCATTTGAGTAAACGCATTGAGGGCCTGCTTGTGTATGGATGTACAAACATACATGCACACCCACACATCTCTGGCGTCGGGCAGAATCTTGAAAACTCCAAAAACATCACTTTTCAGGAGAACCCAAACAGCTGGTTTATTTGATCATTGCATGTGAAACACTTTAGATGTAGACCGAACCAAATGTTTTTGTTTTTTTTTAGCCAATTGTGACTATATGAGGTTTCATTCTTCCAACCAACCACCAACCATCTCTCCGGTTGCCCTCCTCCCCGAAAACACACAACTCGTTCCTTCACTTCAAAGCCACCATGATTTTTATTACCGTGATCAAAAATTCAGACATTTAACGGGCGCCAGGGGTTAAGACTAGCACAAGTCTTCCATGGAAAAAGTAATTAAATAAAATGCACACATGAATAAATACCGTCGGCTTATAAATTAAGGCTGAAAGCAGCGCCTCTCCGCCCGACTCACCTGTTTGAGGAACACAAAAGCAGAGGCAGCTGAACGAAAATGACGATGAAACTAAATTTAAGATGAAGATAAAAGTCCAACACGAGACAGGTATGACCTGCTTCGAGCAACAAATGACATATTGCACACATTTCAAAGACCCTCAAGACTGGTGGGAAGGCAGCAACTGTGGGGAAACACCCCGGTGATGTTGGGGAATCTACAGCCCCTTTGATCCAAGCTCCTATGTTAAAAAAAAAAAAAAACCTTAAAGGGAGCGTTTTTAAAAGGCACCGAAAAACACTTGCTTGAACCGTGTTTCAGATTCACTAATTAATTACGAGCCATAAAGAACATGAGGATTTCAATTAGCCCCAGCGGAAAGAACTCATCCTAGCGGCTATCATCTGACAGCCACTTGAAATCATTTCATATCGAGATGTCCTCCAAAAAAAAAAATATATATATATATATTTTTATCCATGTCTTCGAATAAGCAGGAAGTAGCATAACACAACTCCCTCACACTCAATTTGATTACCTTCCACCCGCCCCCCCAAAACCTCAATTTTCTACACTTAAAAGCATTTGTCACAGTGGAATGTTTCAACGTATTTATTTTATTTGGGCCAAATTGGAAGAATTAAAAAAGAAGACAAAAGAAAAAAACAAAGGTTTCGCAAAACAAAAGTAAATTTAATGGTTTGAGCTGAAAAGTGGAAAAAAAAACAACAAAAAAAGAAAAGTGAAATGATCAACAAAGGCCATTGGTTTCACTCCAAACTTGAGATGAGCACTTGTTAAAAATTGTTAAAACAATGGCAACCAAACAAAATAAGCCTGCCTCTGCTAAAAAGAAAAATCACAAAAAGCAACATTTTTTTATCTTTAGTTATTGATTAAACAACACGAATGAAAAGAGGCGGGAGGAATAAAGTGATGTTGCGTCCAGTCAGTCTGATAAAATTCTTGAGTACCTCTGTCCATTGTGGGAGGGGGAAGAAAAAAAAAAGCCAGTTTGAAGAATTGACTCATTCGTTGCCTTGCATTTGGTCCATCACCTTTCCCTCCTCAATCTCGCCTTTTTACCCTCATACAAATCAGAACGACAATAATTAAAAGATACCCAAATTTCAATCTGTTAGGGCGGGCAATTTGATGATTCACGTCAAAATTTGATCTTTAGAGCAACACGGAGGGGGGCTTGAAGCGAAAACCAAATTGGAAATGCATTTGCTCTCACATTTACGTCCACTGGATGATTCGAATCCAAGGCCTCCATGTCTCAAAGTGACAATACTCCAGGGCTGCTTCTTCGTGAGAAGAAAAAAAAAAAAAAAAAAAAAAAAAAAAAAAAAGCGCAGAGCAAAACATGGCTCAGAATATGAACGAACACGGCAAAATTACGTTTTTAATTTCACCGTAATTTCATTACGTTTTTAATTTCTGCTACTTTGAAATTTTGATTTCAAAGTAGCAGATTTTTGAAGGTTTGGAATTACTGTAACGACGATACAAAAGTCTCATGCTCCAGAAAAAAAAAAGTGAAAACCAACAACGAGCAATGTGAGTAAGTTCGGAGACTTTTTTTTTTTTTTTTTGGACGAAAGGTGCAGTGTTGAGTGAACGCGCTAAAACAAGCGGACCGCACTTCCCGACGCACCACTTCTTTCTCTCTCCTCTACTTGTGGCCCTTGCTGGTCTTGAAGGACACCTGCAGGGTCTTGTCGCCCAGGCGGTAGCCATTCAGGCTGGCGATGGCCATGGCCGCCTCCTCGTAGTTGGTCATGGTGACAAAGCCGAAGCCCTTGCACTTGTTGGTGTTGAAGTCGCGGATCACTTTGACGTTGGTGACGGCGCCGAAGGGGCCGAACATCTGCCACAGAATGCTCTCGTCGGCGTCCTGGCCGAGGTTGTAGATGAAGATGCACCAGCCCGAGGCCGAGTTGCCCGGCACGCCCACGCTGCCCACACTGCCCATGTGGTCCACGCCCATCGGGGAGAATCTGAGGAAGGCCGCCGGGCACAAAGCGTGACTGACGCGCTCACGCTTGCCGTTGTGCTTGTTACCGGACCTAGAGTGGGACTTTGACTTGTTTTATTTATTCCGCATACAAATTCCGAAAAAGCAGGAGAGAAGCCAGCTGGTTGGATGGATACTGAAAGCGCAGGGGACGTGAAGACCGAAATTTTCTTGACACTATGTTCAATGCGATCCCGTTATTCTAAACACGGCGGTCTGATTCATCTTGCCTTTGTGTCTGTGATGTCATATTTAGTTGACAGCAAGGAGCAAAACAACCACCCCGTGAGATGAAAGAAGACGAAGCGTATTTTTTGGGGGTGTTGTTTTCTCTCAAGAAAAGCATCTTATTCCTGGATGTAAACGGTTCCAAATTAACAAATTCAGCTTCTCGCGGCTCATTTGGCGAAACATGTCCTCCGTTATACGCCGAAAAGCTCATGGCGAAAGCCTATGCCACGCCATCTTCAGCATCCATAAGCAACGAGCAGGATTTTTGGGCCCTCAACCCATTTTCATGGCGGGGCGTAACCTCCATCCCCGGTGAACAGTCGCTGAAGTATTATCAAAAAGGTATGGGAGGAGAATGTTCAAAGGAATAAGCTGCTTTTTATCGAGTGTATTTACTGTCGATCCGGACTCACCTGAACCGCTGCGCCTGGTGGTGCATGGGCCCGGCGAAGCGTCTGGACTGGTTGTGGTAGAGCTGCGAGAGGAGCTGCGTGTTCTTCATCATGTTCGGGTCGGCGGCGAAGCGCACCGAGATGGGCTCCGAGGCCCCGGGCGGCTTTTGCCCATTAATGTTTTTCGCCGCCTCCTCTGCCTCGGAGCGCTTGTCGAAGCGGATGAAGGCCTTGCCTCGCGACATGCCTGTGCAGGACAAACGAGCGAGCGAGTGAGCGAGCGAGCGAGGAAGAGGTTTCAACGCCACCGTCCTACCTGTAGACTGGTCGACGAGCACGCGGGAGTTGATGATGCGGCCGTAGCGCGAGAACATCTCCTCCACGTCCTTCTGCATCATGGTCTTGGGCAGACTGGTGATGTACAAGTTGGCGTCCTTGATGGTGTCCGAGCTGGGCCGCGCGTACGACACCTGCGACGGGAAAGCAAGCCGTCACACAATAAAAAGTGGGGCCAACCTCAATCTTTCACTCACTCACTCACTCACTCACTCACTCACAGGCACGCACGCGTGGGTATTTGATCAAATACGATTTGTGCTTTGGCGATGGCAAATACTTGACTTCTATATTGCTCGTGGACACATCGTTATGGATCTCAAGTGCTTTCCCACAATCAAGCGTGACTTTAAAACAACCATGTCAATCTTTTGTGAGCAGCCTTATTTATGGAAAAAAAAAAATCTCTTGCGGGAATGACGTTCTGCACTTCTGCCTGCCCGCCCGCCCAACCATGCAATGGCCACTAGATGCATGCGCCACATGCACAGATTTGCACTCTAGTTTTCAAGTGTATGAAGTGTTCACTCTGAATGAGAATGCTTTTATAGTCTGATCATTGTTGACGTCACGGATCCCAGAAGAGCATTTTGGGGCTATCATTTGAAATCATTTTTGTTCACGGCTTTCATACCGCCATGCATCTCTTCATGTCCTTGTTCCTAAAAGTGAGATGTGAATTCCGTCACTGCTCTCCATTGTAGATCCTCGGCCTAACCAAAGTGGCAACGACCCTGCCAGCACGGCGGCGTAAGCAAATGCACGCAGGGATCAGTCAAAATGATGTCTTGATTGGCATTTTTTGCCACACATTGCACCTACAAGCGGAAGCCGCTCGCCTAGTTGCAACGCCTTCATCTTCCTGTGAAACGGAGCAGATTTCGGATTGGGAAGAAATTGCGTGAATAAAATGTAAATGGGCTGTCACTCGTATCGCAGTTTTCAACCTTTGGCACTAAAAGCGCTCCGCACTGTTACCTCCAGATGACGGCGCATCAGGAGCAAATGAGACTTCGGTATTTTACTCGAGGACATGGTTGCAATGACCGGGGGCGGACCTTCAACCTCTGGGGTTAGGAGGTGACCACTCAAAGAGCAATGCCGCCCCATTTTTTGGAGGGAAAGCAGATCAAATGAACATTCTGACAGCCTTAGAATGGGTTATGCTCGAGGACATGGTTGCAATGACCGGGGGGGCGGACCTTCAACCTCTGGGGTTAGGAGGCGACCACTCAAAAGAGCAACGCCGCCCCATTTTTTGGAGGGAAAGCAGGTCAAATGAACATTCTGACAGCCTTAGAATGGGTTATAGTTGTGGGAAAAAAAGTGCAGTTCTGCTTTAAAATATATATGTTGCCAGCCCCGCTTTTGTCCAAAGAAATCAAACGAATCATTAGTGCCGTAAAAAAAAAGTGCAGTTCTGCTTTAAAATATATTTGTCCAAAGAAATCAAACGAATCATTAGTGCCGCTGTTTGCTGCGCAGTGTTTTAGTGCAAACAAATTTCTGTGACGGCGAATCAAACTCGCGGTAACCGGCGAGCCGTTGTCAACGGCGCCACTGCCTGCATCTACTCGCTAGCCAGCGGACAGCACGGGTGTGTTACATGACAAGACATCGGCGGCATCGTTTGACAAATGGTAGAACACCTGATATGTGCACGTTACCTTGATAGTTTTGGAATGTAGCCTTAGTCCATTCAGTGATTCGATAGCTCTTTCTGCATCACTAGGGTTAACATAGTTAACAAATCCGTACCCTAAACTGTGGCCTAGAAAAAAAAAAAAAAAAAAAAGGAAAACAATAAAATGAAACAAACAAAAAAACGTGTAAAGTTAGTGGCTAGTCTAAACAAACAAACAAACGAACAAACAAATAAAATGTTCACAGATCATCAAGGGCCGTTAGAATAAATCCAACTTCGGGCTCTAGGACCCCCCCCCGCCCCCGCCCAATAAATAAATAAACAAACAAATAAATAAAATCAGCCAGTCCCTAAAATGGATGAGCAAAAGTGAAGATTTATGTTTCCCAGCTTAACTTCTTGCCATTCACAAATTTTGTGCTCTGGTAGCTCACCGGTTGTTTAGGTTACCCCCCCCGCCCCCCGAGCGCACCCCGGCGTACCTCCGACTTTATCTCGAATCAGCTTGGCCGACTCCACCTCGCCGACGCTGCCAAAGAGGTTGCGCAGGTCATCTTGCGACATGCCCTGCGGCAGGTAGTTGACGATCAGGTTGGTCTTGGCGTTCTTTGCGTCCTCGCCCGGCATGTCGTAACCGTTGGACATATCGTATGCCTCCTGCTGCTGGAAAGCGGGTGCACAGAGGGGGGGGGGAGAATGTCGGGGTTTCTTCATCGACAGTCCAGAATGTCGCTAAAAGGTTCCGAGAATCTGTCGAAATCGCCGCATGCAAGCGGCAAGCCCGGAAACCAACACAGAATGCCCATGACCTTCCATTCCTCGGGCAGCATCAAAAAGCGACATCAATGTGTCAAGGATACCAACACGTGGGCTCAGGAGCCCCCCCCAGCCCCTCAACCAAAATGTGGGGTGAGGTCAGCCAAGTTACTCCGTTGAGAGCGAAGAAGCTCTTTTCTAACATTCCATACTGACGACAAAAGTCATAAAAGTCACCTAAGATCTGAGATGAAGTCAGATTTATGTCGGCCAACGCTCAATGCTCCCATATGAGTAGCGTCTCTGAAAGGAAAAAGGGGGTATCGGGGAAACCCCGAACTGAAGTAGTATTGAGGTGACGAGAAGCCCACAAGAGGACTTGGTGGTCACAAACACAGCACAACTCCCCCATAAAGTCCGAACCCCATGTCGTGACTCCAAACACACTTCCAAAACAACACAGGAGTTCATTAGGGCTAAGAAGTGGAAGACTTTGGACTAGCCAAGTCATTCTCCGGACTTCAAATCTATCGGCAGGGCTTGACAGTGTGCCATTTGCTCGCAAAATGCTGACATATATCAAGAACAATGACAAAATGAAAGGGTGTGACCAAATTTGTGTTGGTGCGCCCAACTAAGTGCCGCCAGTGGAAAAGTGAGGGTGGCGCCGCCAATCTTGTTGATGGGTTTCTGCCCTGCGCCAGCAATATGTACTCGAAATCAGGAAACACTCATCGGAGGGCCAGTATCTGAGGAGACGACAAACGTCGAAGGCAAACTCTCTCCGCATCTGCACACTGAGCAGATTTTGGTGAATAGATTTGCTGTTGGCTGACACACAATCAGGCCTGACGAGACAAGCCGTCACCGGGACGGACAGAGGCCCATTCAGGAAGGCAGAAGGCTTGCGATTGTGCATTCTGGTGCGAAGGAAGGCGGAGGTGGAGGCCAGCGACTTGACCATTACGTTCCTTCCCGGTGACGCCGATATGCCTATTTTTGATGGAATTGGAGATTAATACACAAGTTGGTTTAGCTTGACCTTTGCCGAGTGTCCAACTAAAGATAAAGAGTCCATAGCGATGCAGCAACGGCGGCGAATCGAGTGGTGCCTTGAGATACGAGTGGCCACATTTCTGAGTCTCCAAGCTGTTGTCCAGCAAGCCAAACTTTTCTCTGGTATCAGTGTGTTAATGGGAAGGCTATTTCAAATAATTTGATCTTGTAGTGAGCAAAACAACTTACATCCAAGTACTGAATGTGTCCTCTACGAACTGCCATGAAGACACTTCACTGCTCCAGAAGCTGAATAAGGGGGTGGAATGTCATCACTGTTATTTTATTTAATTGTTTTTTTTTTCTCAAGACATTGGAATTCACGAATAAAATTCTTATTTTCAAACCGATTCAAATCAACACTGGACGATGGAGCATTCACTTTTTTTTTAAATACCATGCACTCCAGAGGGGCTAGTACGACTTCATCCACTTTTGAAGGCAAACTGAAGACATGAAAATATACGCGATTTGTCAAAGTCTTTGCTAAGGGGGAAAAAAACCGGCCTCACCACTGTTATTTCACGGAAAATGAGCACGGCGTGCAAGAGCTACCCACAATAGCATTAGCAACGCCGCTTGAGGCCGCTTGGCCAACGTTGCTCGGGCTTAACCGAACGAAAAGAAGAAAACCACACAAAACATACACCTTACAACGCTTCAAGAGCGTGACTAAGTCGCTTTTAACGTATCAAAGGACGTTTTTCCTCGCGCGAGTGGCTCGCTGACTCAAAGCACCGAGTCTCCATTTTCGTATGCGACGGTTTGCGCCACTCCCGCCCGTACTTTAAAATCACAGCGGCCTGCTACAAGGCCTCAAAGCCTGACGTTAGCTTTAGCCGAGTTAGCCGGAGCCCTCCAAGGCCACGAAACGTTCACAAAACAAAAAACAAACACTGAGCATCAAGCCTCCACGGTGCATTGGTGAACATTTTAGAAACTTACCAGCTTTTGGAACAGGGGCGGCAGGTTGTTCTACTTGACAAAACCGATCCCCCCCCCAAGCTCGTTTTTTTTCGTGTTGACCGATCACACGTCTCCTTCCCTCCGGTCAGGGAGTTTCTCGCTTGCAATGTCGCGAAAGGGTGACGCAAGAAACCACGCCCACCTACCGCGGTGAAACGTGTTTGTTCGCCAATTTTGCTAGAGATTGTTCGTGAGCACAACACAGAAAGCCAGTTGTTTGCTCAAAAATAACTTGCTGAGTTGTTGTTCAACCAGGTAATCTTAAAAAAAACTTCCCAATGCATCACATAAAGATGTTTATTGAAAGGGAAAGGCAAACACACAAATCAATACGCACATTAAAAAAAAAAATCTGATTGCCGATTCATCTGAACGGCAGTGTTGAAAGGGGCACTGACAAATGTCAATAACAAGAGTCCACGCGGCATTTACGCATAATTTACCAATTGCTTTATTCCACTCCATTCACTTGTTGCATGAAAAACATTTTGTTTTAAATTATAAAATTCCTCTATCAGCCTGCTTTGGTCCGTGGCCACATCATATGTAACACAGTGCCTGCCGCATTATGCAAACAGAACAATTTAAAAACACATTTAAATCTGACCAGTGATTGTCTAAACTGTCAAGGGATACGTTTCTATCAAAACAATGGAAATACTGTACCACCTGTTTAATTTTCAATATTTGGATGCAAGGACACTAAATATTCTTGAGTTACACATGAAACAAGTCATTTGGAATTTTTGTTGTGCATTCTATAAGATATAAAATAAGTCTCACACAGAGACACACACAAACGAGGCCTCAAGGACAAATTATGGGACAAACTAAATTTTGAGCAAAAGAAATTGTGAGGAAAAACATTTTTGTTGGTAGTATGCATGGATGTGTTTGAATCAGCAGAAACAGAGCAGTACAAACCTTTGAAATGTCGTTAAAAAAAAAAGTAAAAATTATTTTTCAGGTGGTTTGACTTAGCACCAGAATAGCACTCTTTGGTTTAAATTCACACAACCATCCCAAAAAGTGTATTATCACATGGTCTATAATTCTTTTCATTTATGTTTTTAGGAAAATCAATTCTTTAATGGCTTGTATACAAATGGGCGTTTCTCTGGAGTAAGTTTATTCACCCATGACATGTTGATGCAGAAACGGCAGATGGCGGGTGTTTGGGTTCCTTGATTTCTCCATATGCCACATACACACAGTACAGCGTATGAATTAAAATGCTTTGATTGTCTTGATGGGCGCCCACTCCCCCCTCCCCGCCCCCTGGCTAATGATTCATTTTGACACCTGAGTTCTTAGGCTAAACCCCCAAAATAAACGAGGGCTGGCAGGAAAGGCTGATAATAATGTATCCCTGATCTGTGTGTGTGTGCGCATGGGCGCATGGGCAGGGTGATTAATTTAACCAGTTCAAATTGCACATGGCGTGTCGAGAAACGCCGCGCAAATAAGGCACCAAGATGAAAAAAAAAAAAAAAAAAACACTGACACTGGGTTTTTAAGGGAAGTACCCTCTTGCATACTTAGCGGTTGCTCCTCATGGCCTCCTTGGCAGCCAGGATGAGAGGAGTCAGACTGGACAGGGGCTTAGCCAGCTTCAGGAAAGGATGCTGCGGACAAAAAACAGGCACATCGACAATTGCCCTCTTTTTTAACCTTTTAACGTCACAAACTTGACTGTGAATGACTGAAGCAGTGACCATGTGGCCTAATGGATAAGGCGTCTGACTTCGGATCAGAAGATTGAGGGTTCGAATCCCTTCGTGGTTGTCTTTTACACATTGTGATATCATCAATTTCTCTCCAAAAAGTCACGGAAAAGTAAAGCAACAACTGAAGATTCGTATGATCGTTGTCTGTCACAATACTTCCACAGTGACGATGCAATGTTAATGTCTCAACATGCTGTACTCCCCAAAATGTGATGCCTTTGGAGCTGCAAAGTTTCTGCCTGATGCTAGCAGTGCAAAAAAATGAGAATTTCTGGCTTTTATTTTGAAAATTTGGAGAATGGGAAGATGCTGAAGTTGAAATGGGATGAAACAATTGAGAAATGTCGAAACTGGAGATGAATAAAATTAAATAAAATTAAGTAAAAAAAAAAAAAAAATACAATTAAAATTTAAAAAATTAAAAGTTCCAAACTGAAAAATTGGAGCTTTAAATTTTAAATGTGGGGAATGGGAATAGGTCTCACAATGGCTTGAATCAGCAGAACAAGTTTTTGAGACATGGGTGTGCATTAGTGGTACCTGCAACAGTTCTCGGCCCGACCCTCGCTTCTCCACGTCCATCTCCAAACATCGCGACAGGAAGGATCTGAAGACGGGGGACAGCTTCTCTGGACTTTGCAACTCCGGAGTGCCATTGGTGGCGATTAAATACAATGCCTAAAAGACAAACGCAGCAAGGTGTGAGGAAAAATTTGAATGATGTCATTTGTCCCGGGACTAATAAAATACTATCCTGCATATTCTTTGTTAGTCGTGGAGGAACTCAGTTTAGCCTGGGTTGTTAGCGGAAGAAGTTGCTCGCCGCATGTGCATGTACACACGCGCTTCAGGTGCATTTTTCATAGGCATGAACAATTTTTCATCAGAAATGTCTGGGTGCGCATCAACCAATTGTCGGAACGTTGACTTTTTGGGGCTGCAAAATGACCAGGCGTCAGTTCCAAAAAACCCTGGGATATTAAAATGCTGCTTTGAGATTGTGTGACCATGTGGCCTAATGGATAAGGCGTCTGACTTCGGATCAGAAGATTGAGGGTTCGAGTCCCTTCGTGGTCGTATGATATCGACCCTGTGTCACTCTTTCTTATGGGGGTTGTTTCTTATTGGGTTGCAAGTTGTCTTGGATTGGACAATGCGATCATCTTGTCACCTTGGCGACAAGTATTAAAATCTCCAATGAGTTGACTGATATTTTGGGCTGCTAGCACGAGACGTAAATTCCAGAAAACACTGGCATATTTAAATGCTCCTTGGTGCCTGTGTGACCATGTGGCCTAATGGATAAGGCGTCTGACTTCGGATCAGAAGATTGAGGGTTCGAGTCCCTTCATGGTCAGATGATGTCTACCCTCTATCACGCTTTCTTTTATTGAGATCGGATTGCAAGTTATCTTGGATTGGATGACGGGATAAACTTCTCATCCTTGGCGAGAAGTATTAAAATCTGCCATGAGTTGATTTATGCTACATTAAGACCAAGTGCAAGGTTCGCGTTGCTGGTGTCATGAGTAACAAAATAGGCCTTCCCTCGAAAAAAAGGTTTAAAAGAAACACGCTTGCCCCGTGTGAGGATCGAACTCACGACCTTCAGATTATGAGACTGACGCGCTACCTACTGCGCTAACGAGGCTACATGACTAGTGCAAGTCATGATTGGATGACAGGCAGGAACAGTTTTTGATCACAAATTCGGCTGCTTGAGCACGTATCAACACATTTTCGGAAAGTCGACTTTCTGACGGAGTCAGTTACAGAAAACCCTGGCACATGTAAATGCTTTTGCAGACTGTGTGACCATGTGGCCTAATGGATAAGGCGTCTGACTTCGGATCAGAAGATTGAGGGTTCGAGTCCCTTCATGGTCGTATATCTCCACTCCGTGTAATTCTTTCTTATATTGCAGTTGGACTGGATTGCAAGTTGTCTCGTGTTGGACAATGCGGATCATCTTGTCACTATGGCAACAAGTATTAAAATCTCCAATGAGTTGAGTGATTTTTTGCGCTGCTAAAAAACGAGACGTAAATTCCAGAAAACCCTGGCCTATTTAAATGCTCTTTGCAGACTGTGTGACCATGTGGCCTAATGGATAAGGCATCTGACTTCGGATCAGAAGATTGAGGGTTCAAGTCCCTTCGTGGTCAGATGATGTCTGCCCTTCATCTCTCTTTATTTTATTTAGATCGGATTGCAAATTATCTTGGATTGGATGATGGGATAAACTTCTCATCCTTGGCGACAAGTATTAAAATCTGCGATGAGTTAACTTATGCTACATTGAAACCAAGTGCGAGGTTTGCGTTGCTGGTGTCATGATTGACAAAATAGGACTTCCCTCGAAAAAAAATGTTTGTAAAAACTTGCCCCATGTGAGGATCGAACTCACGACCTTCAGATTATGAGACTGACGCGCTACCTACTGCGCTAATGAGGCTACATGACTAGTGTAAGTCATGACTGGATCACAGGCAGGAACAATTTTTGATCGGAGAAAGTAAGCATGCATCAACAAATTGTCGGATTTTTTTGGGCTGCAAAATGACTTGGAGTCGGTCCAAGTGAACCTAGGCAAATTGAAATGCCGTTTTGAGCCTGTGTGACCATGTGGCCCAAAGGATAAGGTGTCTGACTTCGGATCAGAAGATTGAGGGTTCGAGTCCCTTCATGGTCGGATGATGTCCACTCCGTATGTTTTTTTTTTTTTTAATTATATTTAGATTGGATTGCAAATTGTCATGGATTGAATATTGGGGATAATCTTGTTATCCTTGGCAACAAGTATGAAAAACTCCTATGAGGTGACTCATGCTACGTTCAGACCAAGTGCGAGGTGTAGCCATTGACGAAATGTGACTTTACGTTTGGTTATGTGAAGCACCTTGGGTTGCCTTGTGTATGAAATGCACTCAAAAAATAAAGTGGCTTTGCCTTTAAGTCTGTGTTGAGCCAGTCAAACAGGTCATGGTCAATCACAAAGGTATTTTTTTTTTTTTCCCCCCAAAAAATGTTAAAAAATGACTCAGGCAGCTCGGTTACAACGACAATTAAAAAAAAAAAAAAGTCTGAGTTGGTGAATCCGAGACCCCCGAATATGCGTCGATTCACTGTACTCACCCTGAGAGGGTTCTCGTTGAGATAGGGCGGCTCTCCCTC